TGGATGCTGTGCCCTGCTCTGTACTTTCTACTTAAATTGGAAGACACTGGTGGCGGTAGTTGTATCTGTGGTGTAGTTACAGGGGATTCATCTGGATGAATTACATTTGAGGAAGAGAATTTCCAAAGGAGCCTTCAAAACGTGATAACCAGTTGTAACTGTAAAGCACTCTGTTTCAAGACTCATGAGAAGAAAAAATAACTTCCTAGAGTGTTGTTTTTGTTGTTTGTTTTTTTTTGCAGTTGTTCACTGCTTAAATTTATCTATTTGCTTACGTTAAGATGTAGGAAAGGTGGAAAAGATAGCGTTCTTTGTCACATCCTTGAATTGCAATGTGAGACCTAAAGAGCTGGAGGGAGGAGCTGTGCCCCACAGCACAAACAGCTCTACCTCCTCAGCTCTGGACTTGCTGCAGCAGGTGCCTTTTTCATACAGGGTGTTTGATCCCTTCCTATGGGGAAGCATTGGCCTGTGTTATTTCATCATCCCAGAGAGCAGTGTTGGTGCCGTTTTAGTGCCATGCTCTGCCAATGCAGGCCCTCTCTTCAAATTCTGTTAAGTTTTTCCCATCATTTGGACTATCTGCTATTCAGAGCAGACTGGGAAAGCAGAATTCAACTCTGGAAGCAGAAATGGTCATTAATGAAACAGGCTGCTGGGCCCAGAACTAGCTTACCATAGCTGGCTCCCTGCATCTCAGCTTGACTGCAGGAATCGGCTCTGTGAGGTCTCCTGCAGCACGTGGTAGCTGAAGTTTCTGTGCAAGAGGGGCAAGGCAGCAGTTCAGCTAACACCAAATTAACCACGGCATACAGAGTGTTTGCCTGAGTTCTTGCCTGGATCGCTTTGAGCTTTGCACAAAATGGAATGCACAGGTGATAGTGAGGCGGTGTAAGCAGGTAGCATAAAATCCAATAGCACTTCCTTCCTGTGGGGTTGTTTCACGTGGGTTGGCTCTGCTTGTGGGGCCGTTACCTCTCAGTTTTGCTTTAAGACTTAGAATGGATTCTCAGAAGATGAGCTGAGAGTTTGAGCTTTTCATTGGCTGTTGAGGTCAAAGTGTTTACAGAGCTCAAAGTTCAGCTGGCCCTTGGGTCTGTGACAAAACTCCCGAAGGAGAAAGGTTTTCAGAATTTAAACAAATATACTGAAGAAATATTTGTCAGGGAGACAAAATACAGATTCAGTATCATAGTGAATGCAAAAAACAACTATGATGCTGATTGGTGACACTAAATGTTTGGATCTGTCAGTGTTGTTCTCTCAGATCTATTATTGATCTAAAAGAAAGATGAGACTTCTTCGGCAGTTTAACTTCATCTGTTGGAGATAGGGGACAGACATGTTAGCCTTCAGTCACCTCAAGCCCTTCACCTTCATGCGGTCTGCCCCCAGCTGTGGCTTCCCCTGGCCATTGGGCAATAGCAGTGATTCATCATTCATTCAGATTTGCTGTAAGAAGAAAAAACCTCATAATATTAAAGGGAAAGTCAGTGGCCCAGACCAACAGGGTAAGTACAACCCCACTACATTCCTTGACCTATGTATGAGCTGCTTAGGCTAAGGGGAAGTGCTAAATGCTTTTTAAATTCTTTAAAAAATGTTCTCAACTACAGGAAATAGAGAAATATGTCCCTGCATACCTTTTGGAATGCAGATTATGTGTCCCTTGACCCACGTTAATAAAAACACTAGCATCTTGCAGGGTGGGGAAATGAAAAACTGCAGATCTTTTCTATTTGTTTTTCGCAGCTGGTCATCCTTCCCCCACTGGCCTTAGCACAAGGCCTTGGGATGAGCACTGACAAGGAATGTTAAAGTGCATTTAAAAAGAAATTGTTTTATCCTGGATCTTGAAAATTGAGTTTCTTTTTTTTTTTCTTTCCAGCGAAAAGCTGAATGAAGATTTTTGTTTACATTTGATGCATAGTAGCACAGCCAGTAGATTTAAAACCATGGTAGAATTGTCATCTGTGTAGCATAAAATTGGATCCTGATTTCCAGATTTTTTTATCACCTGCAGTCTCACTCGTGTGAAAGCTGCAGGTATGTCAAATTTATCTCCCTGTCCATGCTAATAATAGGTAGCGTGATGTTTTGTGTGCATCTGTGTCCATGGACGCAAAAAGGGTTGCCTGTATTTAATCTACAGATTAACCAGAACATCTATGAATTTCATGTTTAATGCACACTACCTGGCACCAAGCTGGCAGCAGAGCTGCTCCCACACTGCAATAGGTTGTGCTATGAGCAGCGAATGGGGCCTCGGAGCTCCCCTGTGAGCAGAGAGATTCTAATCCTTTCCTTACAGCAAGTGAGCCTGATTTGTTCCAGATGCATGCAGATTTAGTTACTTGCAAGTCTACCCTTGAAATGTGACTTACAGCACAAAGAATCACTAGCGTGCCCTCAGAAAGTGGGTTTTCTGTTTCTGCTTAGGAAATTGTTGTTATAAACATCATCATTTAGTTATGATGCACTTTTAATGGGTGATTAATAGCTTTGCCAAGGAGTATGACACCATAATGGTGTTTAAAATTATGTCTGTGTGGTTACTTTTGATCAGGATTTCATCTGAGCGTTTTCTTCATTATTCAGTAGGAAGGACAGGATATCTGGGTCCCTTCCAACTTGGGATATTCTGTGATTATCTCTAAGTTAAATCTCAAATTGCTGCTGCCACCAATTCGCAATGGATTCTTTCCTCCTTTGCATATAATTCTCTTAAATATAAAGTTACTTCAGAAGGGAAAAAAGTAGTGGCAATGTCTATGTTAAATTGTAATTGTTGGACACTAATGTATAGAGTGCGTAACATGTAGTGCATAACATAAGTATCATGTAACTTTCCTTCGCTTACTGAAGTGATGCCTCCAGATTTTGCTAACAGGTTTGGTAGATGTTGACTCAGTTTTTGAAGAGACTACCAGAAGTGAGATTATAAAGTTCATGGCAAATAATTCACAGTTATAAGTGGTTGTCTTTATTTATTGCCTTGCAAATATGTGCTTTTGATTATTAATGAATCCCAGCTGATCATTTTGTATATCTTCATCATTTGCATGCTTTTCAACACTAAATGTTGGCATAGGGGCCAAAAACATTAATTGCTTCCAAGTACTCTCATATAGTTGTCTCTTTCATTTGGTGCATAGTAAGTAAAGATTCCGAGTATTTTGACCTCTCAAAAGAGTTTTTCAGTGGATCTTGTGAAGTGTACACTTTTGCAAATGTTTATTTGCACTGATAGCTGATTGCAAGAATGTACCAAAATGTTTAGAAAGCAAAGTGTCCAATTATAGGTAGGATTGATTGCTGTCTGCAGTTCAGTGAAAGCAGGAGAAAGCAGGCATGTTTCCCGAAGGTTTAGACTTGCTTTTTAAGAACTTCTGATTGAACTGTAAGCCATAGTTTTGGGCTGTAATAAATGAAGATCATCATAAATAAGTACAGGAAACCAATGGCATAAGTATTGCCTGCATTATGTGGAAAAGTTGCACTCAGAATCCACTAGCATCAACTTCAAAGCCTGAGTCTGCACCATCTTGCTCCAGACTTCCTCCACATCAGAGCCTTGGTTACTTCAGCCTGTCCTTTTGGAAACCCAGGTCTGGAAACTTTTTGCAAATGCAGAGACAGCTCAGTTTGCTCTGCTGTTGGAGTTTTGGTAGGGCTGCAGCTGGCAGAGTAAGGTTTGTAAGTGCCGTTATCTATGGAAACACCTTACTGATGCAGATGCTCCAGTTGCAACCCCATGAGTTCAGCTGGAGGCTGCCTTAAACATGTTCACATCCAGCACCTATGCCAGTTTCACACAATCTCTGACATACCAAGGTGTGGTGTGCGCCAGTGCTACCGTCCCTGGTCAGTCCTTCGAGAGATGTGTGAATGGCAGGCTGCGTGGCCACCTCTGGATTGCTGCGTGATTGCTGCATGCTACAGCCTGGATGTTGTGCAACAGCTTCTGCTAGGGTGGTGGTGTGGGGCCTGCAGGGCTCTGCCCTTTTCTGACCAGCTACTTGATGGTTTCCCTGTGATGCTGCCTCAATTTCTTCAGGGTATATGAATGATTTTACATTCCAGTTACGATCACTGTAGCCAATTTGATATATATATCTTCCCTCTCCCTTTCCCTTTTCCTTTCCATTTTTGAATGTATACCTGGTATATTGAATAAAATCTTTCAGTATATTTTTAATTCTTAGACCTGGAAGCCTGATACTGTATTTTCCTGTCGTTTATCTTAAGCCTGTGTTCTTGTGAGCTCATCTTTTGGGGAGACTAACGTGATTAAGTGTATACCAAGTAAAATGTGTGTATTTGTGATCTGTGATGCCTTACTACAGTAGTGTACCGATTCAGGATGTATGGCTGTTACCTTAATTCAACCATTCTCTTGATTTTTCCATTTGCAGAGCATGACTCCATCACGTTAAGTCCAGCAAAAACATCCAATGAAAGATTGGTTGCATTCAGTAGATGGTTATTATAACTTTCATATATTTTTCCATTTGTACTAATTTCTGGATTTCACTTAACCCTCTTTTCCTTGTTTTTCACTGCTTATACTGTAGTTCTAAGATATTCAGAAAGTTACTAGAATGTTTCAGTAACATTGAAAGACAAAATCAAAATAGATTTTGTGTTTGGATGGGAGCATAATGTACATAATGTTTTGTACTTGTTGCTCTTCACCCATCCTATGACTACAGTCTTCAGCCGTTTTATTCCCATTAAAACCATATCAACCATGAAATGGTTTTACATGAAAGTCGTGGGGTTTTCTTAAAATCACAAAAGGCAGTGTAAGAACTGCCATTCATGAGCTGCTCGTTTTCCACACATCTGCCCATGCCATGCACTGGCTGTACAGTATGTTGCCGAATTACTGATCACAGTTGTATTGAGACCCTTCTGTGGGAGGAAGTAATTGTGTGAAAAGATCTGTGAAAAGATTGTGTGAGCTGCTGAAAATTAAACTGATGTAATTGTTTTTGCAGTGTTGATGACAGGACAGCCTACCTGGCTCTGGGAGCAGTGAGGAACATCTCTCTTAACATTTCCATCTCTAACATTGGAGATGACGCCTACGACACCAATGTTTTCTTCAACTTTTCTGGGGAGCTCTTCTTCATCAAAATGTGGCAGAAGGTAAGAAAGGCCAGCGTTGCTGTGAGCAAATCTCTTCACGTTGAACCGGCTTACTTGCAAGATGTTGGAACATGGGTGGCCTTGTCCCCAGTGCTGAGACATTTCAGAGTTGTTTCTGGTTATGCTGGGCTTGAATTTCTTCCAGGCTCTTTATGGAGGTTTTCTCTTTTGTGGGTTTGAGCTGTGTAAATGATACCCTTTGTGCTTCTACAGAAAAGAGCACTGTTATTTGGGGCAAGTTAATGAAATAGAAAGGTTGTTTGCTTGAAGTATTAAGGTATTAAGAGGCAGACCTGTAGGATAGCAGAGGTCACTGATATGCGAAGGCCACAATGCATTTGGCCATCTTGTTCATCTCCTGACCTGGATTCTTCTGTTTTCGCCTTGCAGAAACCAAAATGCAAGGCTGTTCTTTGCTCATGTTTCAGTGCAAGTTTGGTTTTGGCCAGGGCACATCATTAGTTCCAAGAGCTCAAAAATACTTTTTATTTCACCTGCGTGGGCTCACATGAAGATTTTGAGCTTTAGTCTCTCCACATTTAGATTAAAATGCTCAAGTATTGTCATCAGTTTATCTAGTTTGAGTTTATCTAGGGTTGTCATATAAACACTGAATTGAGGTTTTTACGAACTGGCTATGATAGCTGTCTGGTTGAGTAATGTGAAAATAATTGTGCACAACAATAGATTTACAATAACAACATTTTGTTCCTGCTTTCTGTTGTGATTTCTGTCTCTTGGAGCTTTGCTATGCTTTGTAATAAGCATAATAACTGCCATAAGAGCAGTATTAAAAACAGTGGCACAACTGTCACAGAGTATGGGATTAACATGACCCTTTGGAACGATATTTTGCCATTATTCATCAAATTTTATAGAGGAAAACTGATAGATTTCGCCTATTATATACCTCTTAAACTGTCCTGTTACATTAAAGTATGAGAAATTCTGACATAAGTTAATTCTGTTGGTTTTCAGATTAGGCTGTGACCCTACACACAGTTACAAACCTGAGAAAGTTTTCTTTGCATTACAAGCTTCCATTATGGATATTATGTACTTGCAAGCGTGCAGTTTATCAGGAGAAAGAAAAAAACAAACAACACAAGGAATAAACCAGAAATGCCTTATCCCAGTATGCAGCTTCTCCTTGATGGAATTTTACTTGAAGACTTCCAGGGTGGCCCAGCTCCTGTTGAAGTCAGTGACAGGGTTTCCATTGCTCCACACTAAAGAGGAAGCCATTTGATGTATGTTTTTAAAATACAGTTTGTTTTTCAATTCTGTGCTTACATATTGTGTATTTTACATGCAGATGAACTGCAACACTAGTTGCTTTCGTTGGCCTTCTTGGCCAATGCTGCCAGGGAACAAGCTGAAGATAATGTGCTGTTCCCGCTGTTCCCCTTGGTGTTTTACCTTGAGCTGAGATCTAAAGCAGACTTGAAACAGCTGTGCTGAAAGCTGTCTAGAAGGAGCAGTTTCTGGAAGCAGATGACATTGCTGTAGGGTTATCTCACCACTCATTGTCTTCTGCTAATCGAAGCCAGCATTCTTTAAGAAATACAGAATAATAAAAAGCAGCACATATCAAAGCAATATATAGGCTTCTTTCTTCCTCAGGTCTTACAAGCAGTAGGAAGACATGTTATTCCTGTTATTCCACTGTTTGTGTGATTGATTTGATAAGGTGTTTTTGTTTTGGGGGCTTTTTTGATAGCTTAGTAACGGTTTTCTTGGGCAACTTTGCTTCCTCTCAATGAGCTTTTGCTTCAAGACATGCTAATGGATTGTTGGCCACACCATGCGTCCAGATGGGAAACTGGATTACAATTCATAACCTCAATTAGTGTTATATTTTCCGTAAGCTCCCTGAACAATGCTTCTCTAAAATAAAAATATAATGGATTGTGTTTTTCATAAACTACTCCCATCCCTTGACATCTATGCATAATATGTACTGTGCATGTACTTTAAATAGATTTTGTTCCTGGTTGAACACTGCCCAGGCAAAAATCCAGAATATAAAGTTGGAGTAAAAATGATGACTCATAAGATTTCCCTTAGTGGAGCAATTTCAGAATCAAAATTGCTGTTTGATGTTGGAAGCTTCTCGCTGCAGTGCTTTCTAACAAGTAACACTGGGGTGGAAGAGAAGGGTATCTTGACACTTTTCCTGAGAAGGGACCCCGGAGCACTGCGTGATGAGCTATTTAACCAATCCTTTTGAAAGCATGTCAGTCTTCTGTTTAGCTTACTTGTGTCTGCAGTGGAGATTCTGGCAGATTCAGTCTGGCTGTTTCTTGCTATAGACTGGTTATGATGAAAACTTGACTGTGCAAATCTAATGCTGTTGTCCCCATGGAGTTACAAGATGCCACAGTTCGTGTTTGATAAGAAAAGGATGAACAAGCCCACTGCTGGTTATGGTACACTCCCTGAAGTGTGTTAGCAGGGATAGCTCTTTGCTCTGTGGAGGCTGAGAGTTCATGAGCCATGATGGGCAGAGCATCTGGCAGAGCTTTGCTGCTTCTCTGCAAGGTGAAAAAGTGTTTGCTGACTGACGTTGAAAAGGCTCAGTTTATTCCACTGTCTGATTTTCCTGCTGTGCTGCTGCCAGTCCTCTCTGCTCCATGGATGGAGCCCAGCATTTTCTTTCCATAGCATCTGACAGGCAGCCCTCCTCCCGTGGCTCAGTACGTGGTGTGGGCTCCAGAGGACAGCTTCTCATCCCTGCCCACCCTGTGGTGGTCTCACTTGTGTTGTCACTGCTGCCCTCCTTAAGGAGCTGTTATCACAGGAGCGTTACCATCCTGCACTCGAGGCACCCCTCACCCTTTTTGAATACAGGAAGAGACTGTTCTGGAGAAATGAGCACCTAACGACAGAGCAGCAAAGTGGTGAAATTCCTGAATTCTTAACGTACAGTGTGGGTTTAACCTCCAGTAGCTAAATGTGCAAACTATTTTCCATTCAGTGTGGTTTCATTAAACATGTAGTGTCGTATGAAAGTAACAACATCCATGTAATTTTTCAATTCTTTCTAATGCAGTGGAATTAAACTGAGATTTTAGAAGCCAGATATAATATTTTTTTTTCTTTTTTTTTTCTTTTTATTAAATGATGTCAGGAAAAAAAAAAAAAAAAAGTTCTCTCAAGGCTGAGCAAAGCCTGGGTTTCTTTTCAGGAGTCTGCCAAAGTTTGACCATCAGCGTAACTCCTCCTGTGCAAGATTTACAGTTCAGATACAGCAAGAAGTGGTGTTTCTTACAGGTGCATGGGAGGATTGCAGTGTAGTCAATTTCAGGAGGTGTCCACTAAAATAAATGTTCCTTTTGAAATACGAAGACATGTAATTGCTTTCCCCACCCCCCCCTCTTTTTTTTTTTGGTATTAAAAGGGAAGGAGTTGGACATCTCACCTGTTCCCTTTGGCTTTTTTTAAGCAATGTTGATGCAGATTGGCCATCTCTTCTGTGTACAGTAGATTTGCTAATTAATTTTTTTTTTTAATCTTAAAGTTCATTGTCCCATAATCACAATTCAACTCCAAGAATGCTACTTCAGAGCCTGAAAAACCCACTTAACAGATGTGTTGTTGCCACTTCTGTGTAGAATGCAGAATTCTGTTTGTGTGCTATGGAGTCTGGGAAAGGAATAACAAGCTATCACTTCTGATTTTGACATCATTTTGCATCTATTGGAATTGCCATCTGACTTGTGAAGTTTTGCTGGAAATGCTCAGAAATAAGCTCCTTATTAACCATTTATTAGCTGCTGCTTGGAGCAGAAGGGTATTTTTAGTATAGTTGCAGAGAAAACACCATAAGCTTTCTGGCAGCTGGCCCTTGTCAGAGATTTCCCAGGTAGGCTGATATAGCAGCCACCACTGAAAGGCAAAATTCCATTCTTCTGCACCTGCTCTCATGATACAGCCTTTTCCCCTCCTTTTTAGGGAGTGGATATTCTTCAGGTTCAGCGTGATGAATGGGCTTCCCAAGGGTATCAGGTGAGTGCAGGGAGAGCAATGGAAGCACATCATCAAGGAGCTGAGTTTGGGTGTGAATGTAGGCAGGGCCTTATCTTTATGAAATCAGTTCAGGAGGTTGTATCCCAATGGTATAAAAACAATGTATGTAACATAATAATAATAATAATATAACCAACAAATATAACCCAGTATCTGTGGCATTAATCTCTGGCTGCTCCTGAAGTTCTCTATGAGAGCCAGAGGGAACATCTCAGGGTTAAAGAGAGAGGAGGTCAGGAAGTCCTGCTGCTGACTGTCATTCCCAACCATGGTTTATTTCTGTTTTCAGGCATGCTCCCAGCATCCAGAGCCAGCTGTGTTAGCACTCCTGCTGCTTCTCACAACAGCTTTCACCAGCAACAGCTGGATGAAATTTGTGGGGCTGGGCCCAGGGCAGAGAGAGCTGCAAGGTTATGGCTTCCTAGAATGTATGAATTTCTTGTAATTCCTCTGTGTGCATCTGAAACCTTGGTGCTCATTATGAATACAGTGATAACCCGAGTCACGCTGCTGATGGGCTCTGTGGTTTCTCTTCTGACAAGTAGTGCGGTGCCTTGTCTGGGTTAGCAGGCAGGTCAGGTACAATCCTAATCTGGCTGTTTGAGCGCTTGCTTCCATCTCCTGACAAAGAGAGCCCAGAAAAGCTGTGCACGCAGGAAGAATTTAATTTTTTTCCAATTTGGAAATTCTCTTACACTAGTTGCCCATGCTGCTCATACTTTCTAAGGGTCCTGTCAGAGTAGGATTCTGATAGAGCCCAAAAGCCTAGGACTCATGCTTTCTTTTAGATCCACTTGTGCCAGTGGAAGACACCACAGATCCTGGGTATTCTTAATATCTCTTTTCCAGTGGTTATTGCTCCTTTAGGTCCACTGGCACAGAAGCTAGCTGGTTAGCAGTAACCTCTTAAATTAGTGGTTTGAGTTAAGCTAGTTGATGTTGTATGGAGTGAGCTGGAGTTGCTCTTGTCA